TGCTTTCCAGCCCCCTCTAAGCAGTTTACAGAGTCAGCCTCTTTTCCCCAACAATCTGGGTCCTCATTTTACCCACCTCGGAAGGAGGAAAGGCTGAGTCAACCTTGAGCTGGTCAGGATTGAACTGCTGACAGTGAGCAGTGAGTTAGCCTGCAATACTACATTTTAGCCACTGCGCCACCACGGCTCCAAAAAGATGGCCACTACTGCGTGAGCTCTGCTGTCCAAAGGGGGAGCGTGGTTCTTTTCCCCCCTTCCCAGTCCCATTTCCCTAAGAGGAAACTTTCCCACAACACCGAATACCATAATTTTCAGTGGTCCACGACTGTGAAGGAGAGCCTGAGATCTTTACTAACTTATCAACCGCAGCGATTCACTTAGCAACGGTGGCAAGGAGGGCCGTAAAGCAGGACAAAACAAACGTCTCACTGAAGAACAGAAATTTGGGGCTCAGTTGTGGTCGTAAGTCAGCTGTCCTACGCCAATACGTTACGACATCCTAGACTTTTGAGAAGAACTTGACGCATATGATGGGCCACACCGGTTCAGAAGTGGAAGATGTGACTTCCCACTTGTGTGTATGTCAACATCCGTCTATCCTGTCTATCTCGGGAGGCTCTTTTGATAAGACAGACAAAAATGCCAAATCCAGCCTGAACGTCTGGCTGTCTGACCATAACATCATAAATCTTGATATAATTGGACTTCAGTGCAACAAGACAACTTGAGCTGAGACGTCCCCTTGAGATATCAGACAGCAGTCCATTAAATCACCATTTCACTAATGCTTCCGGGAAAGTGAGGGGGAGATATGAGAAGGGTAGGAAAAAACAGGGGCTACCCTTTTCTGAATATGCATGAAGCTGGGGGGGCTTTTTATGTCTCCAGATGTACCTTTGGGACTTTATTTTGTTGTTAGAATAATAAAGTTAGTACAAAATAATAAAAACAAGGACAAATAGGCTGAAAAGCAGCTTCTATCCCAGGGCAGGAGCTCTGCTGAATTCTACTGTATAGTGCAGTGTTGGTGGTTTTCGATTCAATGCATGGAGGGTGAAGAAGGATGTGTGTTTGTGTTCATTTTCATGGTCATGATGTGCACTGAAGATGGGGTTTGATTTCGTTGTACGAGGTGCAGTAACAAGAAAGTAAGTATGTTAGTTGTGAAGTTGTGTCCGATCCATCACAACCCCATGAAGAACGTTCCTCCAGGCCTTCCTGTACTCTGCCATCTTCTGGAGTCCATTAAAGCTCACGCCGACTGCTTCAAGGACTCCATCCAGCCCCCTCCTTCTCTGCCCTCCTCCTCCTCCTCCTCCTCCTCCTCCTCCTCCATCGTTCCCAGCATTCGGCTCTTCTCCAAGGAGTCCTTCCTTCTCATTAAGTGGCCAAAGTTTTCTCTTCAGGATCTGGCCTTCTAAACAGCAGTCAGGGTTGATCTCCTCTCTAGGACTGACCGGTTGGATCGCCTTGCAGTCCAAGGGACTCGCAGGAGCCTTCCCTTCCAGCCCCAGAATTCAAAGGCCTCCATTCTTTGGCGCCTTCCTTATGGTCCAACTTTCACAGTCCTACATATTGCAACTGGGCCTTGACTCTACAACATAGCCTTGACTCTAATCCCTTTTGTTGGCAGGGGGATGTCTCTGCTTTTATGTCTCGGATGTCTCTGGGACTTTATAGATGTCCATAATTAGAATAAATTCCTCCCTCTGAACGGTGCCCTAAATCAAGGTTTAGTATTATGCCTTCTCTGACCTACATGGGGGATGTGACGCAGGCTATTACACCTACTTGAATGCGCAGGAATTATTCTTTGAAAATTTAACTGTGGGTCCATTCCAGAAAACACAACCGTTGTCCAAAGCAAAAGCTTTTCTCTTCTCCAAAACGCCAAGAGAGGGAAGCAGATTCCGGAATCCAAAGAGAAATTCCAAGATCGTCTCAAATCCCAAAGGTGCATATTTTTTTTTTTTCAAAGAGGCCACTGGACTTTCTGTTTTTTCTTTGAAGAGGTTTCGCTTCTCATCCGAGAAGCTTCTTCAGTTCTCAATTTAGTTCTTCTTCGGAGCTGAAGAAGCTTCTTTGGATGAGAAGCAAAACGACTTCGAAGAAAAACCACAAAGTCCAGTGGCCTCTTGAAAAAAAAAAGCAACTTTGGGACCAACCGTGACCATGGATGATGGAGAATCTCCATGGACGATTGTCCTGAATGTTCCAGAATTGTCTCCTGCAGTGAATTGCACGATGGGGCCCAAACCATTATCTGTTTTTCACCCTCAATTAACAATCTCCCTTCCTAACAATGGTCCAGGGTGAGAGCGGCGCCAACCTGCTTCCATGACGGACATACCTGTTGGTGATATACTCGACGTAGGCCAGGGCGTCTTCGATGTGGCGTTTCTTGGTGCACAGAATGATACGGTTGAAATTGGCATAAATGACCACGGAGCCGAGGCGCTTGAATTCTGCCACCAACCTGGAGGAGGTAAAGAGCAGAGTGCGGAGTAGTCTTGTTTAACTGGGGACTGTTGTGGAAATGTTACATACTTGTCTGTTTTCTCTGCTAGATGCTATTAGTTTAGGGTGCTATAACTTTAAGAAAAGCCTCTTGGACATCTGGAAGTCTTAGAGCAAACTTTCCAGCTTGGTGACCTGGTCCAGACAGAGTGGGGGGGGGGCATGGGAGTGGTAGGCGCAAGCATGAAAACTCAGCCTAATTTCAAAGAAGCAAATTTTGCAGAGAGAACAACGAGGCAGTTCCAGTGGTACAAAACAAAGATACCAATCTAAGGGAAACTTTAGACCTAAGAGATGCCAGTTTAAAGCAAGCTTTAGATCTAACGGATGCTAGTTTAAAGGAAGTTTTAAACCGCAGAGATGCCAGCCCGAAGCAAGCTTTAGACCTAACAGATGCCAGTCTAATAGAAGCGTAAGAGGTAACAAATGCCAATCTAAGGGAAACTTAAGACTAACAGATGCCAGTCTGAAGGAAGCTTTAGACCTAAGAGATGCCAATCTAAGGGAAACTTAAGACCTAGGAGATGCCAGTCTAAGGGAAGCTTTAGACCTAAGAGATGCCAGTCTAAAGGAAGCTTTAGACCTAGGAGATGCCAGTCTGAAGGAAGCTTTAGACCTAAGAGATGCCAGTCTAAGGGAAACTTCAGACCTAGGAGATGCCCGTCTACTTGGCCTAGGACAGACTCACTGCAGAAAGAGCTTCTTCATCATGCCATGGAGCATTCGGTGCAGGGCCGGATCGTAGAGCAGGGAGGTTGGGGAGCGCAGCCAGCGGTAGAAGTGGATCACCTGGTTGTCAGCATAGACGTTGTGGTACTGTGTGATCTCCTTCACCCAGCCCACCACCAGACTCTTCAAGATCCTGCGTAGGAACAGGAGAAAGAAAGAAAAAAACCCTTCATTCTTACATGCCTCAGGTGAGCAACCTCTGTGGCCTGAAGGGCCGGAGGTGGCCAGGGGGACGAGCCCCACCTGAAAGTGTTGGAGCAGAGAGCGGCCTCGTCGTAGCTGGCGGGGACGCTGGCCGCCTGGTTGCCCGTGACCATGTCCTCCAGCGATGCCTGCTGGATCACATCGAAGCTGATGCAGAGGCTGGAGGCCCCTTCCATGTCGTTGATGCGGTGGGACTGCAGGATGGTGTTCACAGCCAGGTTCTGGATGTCCAGTTCCACACAGACTGCAGGGAGGCAAAGGGGAAAAAAAAAATCTTCATCTTACCCCACGGGTCACTTCCCTCCTGCTCTCCAAAAGGGGACAAGCTCAGAGGAGGGACCCATTCTGCATTTTGACTCTGATACCCAAGCGAAGGAGTCTTCCTCAACTCCTTTTTTTCCATCAGAGGGAATCAGTCCGATGGCCGCTGGGGCTGCTGCAGGACCTCTGTCCGTCCGTTATTCACCTGTGGAATAGCAGCCCGGATGGTTGATCTCCACGGAGGCCCTTTCGTCGAACTCCATGACCAGACGGCTATCATCTGCCTCCTTGCCACCCATGTCCGGGCGGGAGGTGGGCGAGAGCCAAAGGAGGTGATTGTGGCGATGGAGATGGCGAGAGAAAAACAGGTCCGTGCCGAAGATTGAGACGTCATCCGGAAGGTTCCCGACGGGGAGGTGGTAATACCTAGGGAAGACAGAGGAACGTTCACCGTGCGGCGGAGAGCGGGATTCTCTGCTACGGCTTGTGGTGACGACCACAACCGAGCCCAGAATTTACTTTGATAAGCGAGACATCGGTTAAGGGAGCTTCACCCTGTTTTAAGACTTTCCTTGCCACGTTTGTTAAGGGAATCCCGGCAGTCGTTAAGTCAGTCACAGGGCGGTTAAGCAAACTCGGTTTCCCTGTCGACTTTGCTCGTCATAAGGGTCGCAAAAGAGGAATCGCGTGACCCCAGGAGGCTGCCACCATCGTAAGTGTGAGTTGTCAAGCATCCAAGTGTCAGTCACGTGACCCCGGGGGATGCTGCAACGACCGTAAGTCTGAAAAACGACTCTCGTTTATGACGGTGGCAGTGTCCTGGGGTCACATGATCCCTTTTTGGGGTGACCTTTTTGACAAGCAAATCGACAGGGAAATCGGATTTGCTTAACAACCGTGTGACTAATTTATCGACTGCAGCAATTCACTTAACTGCTGGGCGAGAAAAGTTGCGATGACCCAAAAGGGTGAGTCACAAAAGTAGGTAAAGTCCCTTTAATTCCTCCGATTTGGCCTCCAATGTCCAGTTATCATCGGCTGGAGAAAAAATTCTCCCAAGAACAGGTTTTAATGAGAAGAAATTCAGTCCGAACCCAAAGTACATATAGATTATAAATAAAAACTAATACAAACCACGCTGCAGCAATTAACGAGACAGACAGGATAAAGAATTACAGAACTCAAAAGATAACGAAACACACACAGTTGGGAGGACTCCAGAACCCAGATAAGACTTGACAAACAAAGAGAATGCACGCTTTGCTTCCAGCAAGGTTCTGTGCGCAAACACCCTCTTTATCCTGTTTATCCAGCTGCAGCTAATGAAGGGAATCAGGGCCTTTTTCTCCCCCGTAACCCACGTTGCTCCCTTATCCGTTCCTCCCTGCACGTCCTAGGATGAAGGGGGGAGTGGGCCTGGGTCTTTCTCTGAATGCCCAGCCGGACTGGGCCCTTCCCCAGTTTCCTCCACAGTCACACTCCCATTCCGTCAGCTGTTCGACCTCCCCCTCGGAATCAGACGGGCATGACAAAAGTCGTAAAATGGGGCAAAACCTCATTAGCAAACATTTCTCTTAGCAACCTAAATGCCAGGGCTTGATTGCGGCCGTAACGCAAGGACTACCTGGGAAAGAACCAAAGACTAATGATTTGGGACAGGTCAATCTATCTGCCAAAGGCCCAAGAGGTCTCTCTCTCTCTCTCTCTTCCCCAAGGCTCACCTGCTCATGTCAAAGGCCTGAGACAGACATAGGTCCAGCTTGAGGTAGTGGCGGATCAAGTGCCGGGCACCATGGCGCTGCCAGTCCAGGATGCTGTAGTTGATGTCGTCTGTCACTTGGACAGGAACCAGGGGGAACTCCTCCAGAACCGGCATGGCGCTGGCCAGCCGCTTCAAATCCCAGTTAGACTGCACAGCGATGAGGGTGGGGCCCCGACGCTCGTCCTGTGGCAGACAAGATAAATACTCTTAAAGCGTATTTTACTCTTTTCTTTTTAAATAAAATTTCATTAACTTTTACACAATTAAAAACAACACAAATACAAAACAAGTTTGAAGACCCCTGCTCTAGGAAGAGGGGAAAAAAATAAAAGCCAGATGCCCAGGGCAGGAGAAGCCCCTCCACAGCCAAAGGATCTCCTCGCAGGTCCTGGGTTGAGGAAGAGGAAGACTGCAAAGGGTTTGGGGGTCCGTTCCTCACCTTGTAGCCCATCAGGAGGCGCTGGAGCGCTCTGCAGATGCTCTTGAGGTCTGTTTCGGCTCGGACTTCGAAGAGGTGCTTGTCTGGGGGGAGCAGCTCTTGGCCCACCTTCTCCACCATGGAAGCGTGCTCAGCAGAATACAGGTTGCCGAGGTTTGGCATCTGGTTACTGCGCACCTGAGGCAAAGGGGTGAAAACAAGAGAGCGGCTGAGCTGCAGGAAGGAGGGACCCGAAGGAGGGACTCCAAAGCGTGGGGAGATCTGACGCCAATCTGTGTTTTAAAAACCTCAACAATTCTCCTCCCCCTCCACCCCTGAACTTACCGTATCAAGCACAAAGATGGAGGCTTTGCGCTGGGAAGGGATGAAGAGGCCGAGCAACGCTTTGCTGCCCTGGGAGTGGTGATAGAGGTAGATGTGCCGGATACTCCCTAGACAGAGAAAAGAGCCGGGCGTTAAACAGAAATCCGCACTTCCGCAGCTGTGGCACAGATCAGCCTAACGTGGGCCTTCCTACTGTCAGGGTTCCTGTAGAAAAACTTTTAATGAAGTGGAAACTGGGAGTTTTCAGAGTCAGTTTAACGGCAGAGTCCCAAGGAATCGTTCCATGGCAAGCACTCGAGTTCCTCAAAGGTTCCTTTTCTTGGAAATTGTTCTGACCAAGGCTTCCAAGACCCTAATTACGCACACGCTTATCTTAAAAAGAAGTCTTGTTTTATTGCAACGCTGGGAATTATTTTCATTCCCATCTGGTAATGAATGCCAAATGGTCCCTCAAGATAAGCACCCACCTTTCTGTCCTGTGAAGTGCTGCCAATAACAGAAGTGTCAAATGAACTAGAAAAGAAAATCAACTGAAGTACAAAGAGCTTCAAGTATGAATCTGAACCGAACGAACGACTTTGCTTCCTGCAAAGGTTTCGTCACCTTTGCCTGTCCTTTATCCCTTATGGGAGGGGCAATCACCTCCAAGCCTTACTCCCGAGTTGCCCCTTTTGTCTCAGCTGCTCTTGCCTTCTGGCAGCTCTGTGCATACGCGCACTGGGAACATGCTCCCCTTGTTCCTCTTCCTCGCTGCTGCCAGACTCCGGAAGCTCCGGAGGCAGCCCCCCACTCCCAGATGGTCCTGGCCCCATCTCTGCATCAGATGCAGGACCCTCGTCCGAGTCCTCTCGACTCCTGGACTGGTCCCTGTTCTTCCCCACTGTCCGACTCTGCTGCCGGCAAACCACAACAGAAATGTCATATTGGCACATATCTGGTGAAAACCGACTCTGAAATTCCTGCAGTTTTCATCTCATTAAAAGTAAAAGATTTTCTACTTTCTCAAAACAATCAGTCCCAAAACAATGGTCCAATCATCGTTCAGCACGACCACCGGGTGGCATCACTCCGCCTTCTTCCGACCAGGTGTGAGAATGTCCTTGGTTCCCAAGAGAAAGTATTTTGTTTTGGTTAGAAAAAACCCCTCTGTCTAAAATCTCCCGGTCCCTGACTCTCAACTCCAGTGTGACAACACTGAAGCGGACAAAAACAGCTCCAGTCAAGAGAGTTTCGGGGCTGATACCCACCTGGCTCCAAGTAGCTGAACTGTGCCAAAGACTGCCTCTCCAGGTGCTCCAGGTCAAAGGTCTCAGCTTCCCGGCCACTCAGGTGCCTCACCAAATGCCTATTCACCATGCAGACACAGCCTAGGTGAATCAGGGCCCGCAAGAGTAACGGCACCTGGGAAAGAGGAACCAGTCAATAAAGATATCTATCTACATAAAAGTGAAATACCGCTCACGCATCATTACAAAATCTCCAGAACCGTAAAGCCTACAAACTTGAAATGACGTGGTTGTCTGAAATGGAACACGGTTTCCTAACCCAAGCAGGGGGTTGGACTAGAAGATCTCCAAAGGTCCCTTCCAACTCTCTTCTTCTGTTATCATTCTCGTCAAGGGATTACCTGGGTCTCGTAAACCCCCTCAATGTCTGGAGCAGAGAGGCTGGCATTGATCTCATTGACATGCTCCAGGTACATATCTTCGGACACGGAGTACTCGTACAGGTGGAAGGCCAAGCTGGAACGAGGAAGAATTCGATTCACCTGCAAAGAGAACAGGATGAGCCCTCTTCCGTTTGTGCCCTGAAGGGATGGGGAATTTAATCCATTTGATCCCTTTCGGATAATAAATTTGACTTTTGCCTGCGTGAATCTCCCTGCCTGTGGAATGAATCCACTCGGGACCCTCACGCTTTTGGTTCTGGAGTTAAGCTCTTCTTCCTCTTTTAAAAATAAATAAATCTGGGTCTTTTCAGTTTAAACCAGTTCATTCTTAAGGTAGCCCGCAACTTATGAGCACAATGGAGTCCAAAATGGATGTTGCTAAGCGAGACATTTGTTAAAGTGAAGTTTTGCCCCATGTTTACGACTTTTCCTGCTCCCGTTTGTTAATGGAATCGCTGCCGTTGTTACATTAGCCACACAGTTGTGTAGTGAATCTGGCTTCCCCCCATGGACTTGGCTTGTCGCAACGCGGCCACACAGCCTTCTGACAAGTACAATTCCAGAAAAGACAGGAAATTACGCGCCGGGTCGTTCCGCTAGGAACCAACCTGGAGTTCGAGGTACCTTTTTATAGACCGTGCTCTCTTCAGGTTTAGGAACGCGCTGGTTGATATAGAAAATTCGTGGGACGTTCAGTTTCAGGCAGTAGAGATCGCTCCCGATTACAGCCCAAAGCTTGAAAAGGCCTGGCTGGCCAGTCTCAGCAATCTAGCAGGGGGGGCGGAAAAACAGTGATAAGGACCAGGGTCTTCAATCTAGAGGAAAATACCTCTTAATATGGGAATTGTGGCTAGTAATAAGTTTCCCAGAGCTGGAAAAAACTAGCACGTATGTGCGAGGGGAACCTTTACCTTTACTAAGACATAGAAAGTAGAAATTGGAAAAACCCTGTTATATACTGCCACAAAATAGAATACATTGTAATTACAATATCTGTATCTATATCATCTATATCTATATCTATATCTATATCTCTATCTATCTATCTATCTATCTATCATCTATCTTTCTATCTATCTATCTTTCTATCTATCTATCTATCATCTATCTATCTATCTATCATCTATCTATCTATCTATCTATCTATCTATCTATCTATCTATCTACACACAGTATATATAAATCTGAGAAGCTGAAAGAGTATTATATATATTTAATTAATATCACCATTGTTATCAATGTTTTGTATAAAGTAAATTGACCCAGACAATGTACTGTTCGCACAGGAAAAGCTTGATTTTTGTCAACTCCAAGGGGAATCCTCGGAGAAAAGGCCTGGATTGTTTTCTCGAGATGCTACAAATGCTAGCAAGGAAAAGAAATGTAAGCATTTTAGGGCAGAGGTCTCCAACCTTGGTAACTTTCAGCCTGGCAGACTTCAACTCCCAGAGTTGCTGGGAGTTGAAGTCCTCCAGGCTCAAAGTTACCAAGGTTGGAGACCCCTTGTTCAGGGTATTGCCCTGATGGAAGGAACCATCTCAGGAATTAGAAGCTCTGCTTCGTGGACTATTAGCCCTTCAATCACAGGACATCTCCCATCGTGATGGGGGTAGGCAGGAATCCCTCCTGTTTTGTCCAGCAAAGGATTCTGGGAAGTGAAGGACAACGCAGCTGGAGGATACGAGGTCAACCGTATAAGCTGTGGCGCCCACACTGAACAACGTCTCTCACGGGCCCACAGTCCTTCAGCAGTTCCTTGCTGCCCATACCTGGACTATCTGCCACGGCATGTCGAGGATACTCCGGGCGGTCTTGCGCAGGAAATTGCTCAGGCCCTTGGAGGGCCCGGCCCGAATCACTCCGCCCCCTGGGGCTGCTTCTCCGTCGGCCAGCCTCCGCTTCTTCCGGCGCTCCTGGCGTTGACGGGCCTGCAGCTCCCACTTCTTTTTATGGTAGCGCAGCCAGAGCAGGCGTTCCTCCTACGGGCAGAGCAAACCAGACGGACGCAGCTGTTGGGACAGGGAGCTCAGGCACCTGAAATAATTCATCTTCTAGACCAGTGGTGGGATTCAGACGGTTCACACCGGTTTACAAGAACCGGTTGTTAACTTTCTGAGCAGTTTGGCAAACTGGCCGTTGGAAGAAATCATTAGGGCCGAGAACTGGATGTTAAATTATTTGAATCCCACCACTGCCCCCTCCCTTCTGATTTCTCATTTCCACGTGGGAATTATTAACCCTACTTTTAATCTGCAGATAATCCCCGTTCCCTCCAAGTCACAGGCAGCTTCGTTTATCCTCTTGGGAGGACCCTCAAAATTCTTTGGGGGGGTGGGGGGTGATGAAATGCCAGGGGGAAGGGGAGAAATCAGTCTTTGGAAACAGCTTCTCCTGTTTGAAGTCTGCCCTTCTCCAGGTAGGGAGGGATTCGGTGGTGGGATTCAGCCGGTTTGCATCGATTCATGAGAACAGGTTGTTAACTTTCTGAGCAGTTCGGTGAACTGTTTGTTGGAAGAAATCATTAGGGTGGAGAAACGGTTGTTAAGTCATTTGAATCCCACCACTGATCTAGACCAGAGGTCCCCAACCTTTGTGGCATGGTAGCCTGGCTGGAGAGAGTGGGCAAAGAGGAGCGTCGGAACCGCAGCGGGCTGGCAGGCACATGACTGGGAAGAGAAGCTGTTCCAACTCAACTCCATCTGAGCAATGGCCATAAACTTCCAATAACTTTCTTTTCCTGAAACTATCTCAGGGGTGAAGGGATCAACGGCTTTCCCACTGGGGGAACCCCAACCTCAGATTGCTCTAATTGGCTGAGGAGCTTTTGGCCTGCTCTCTGATGCAATTGCAGCCCCGAGGAAACTGACTTACCTTAGTGGTGCCAGAGGGCGGTGGGGGTCCCAGGATCTCCCTCCAGGATTGGGTGAGCTCCAGAGCTTGGGACTGCTGCTGGCTCTCCTCTGCGGTGAGGGTTCGTTTACGCTTGCTCGATATGGGGGGCACTGGCTGCAGAGGTTTGGTGACCCCAAAATCTTCCATATCGGCCACCTGACTGTTTGGGGTATTCTCACTGGGTAAGTTACTGGAGACCTACAAGGAAAGTCCGCAGACGATTATATGAAGGATGTTAGCTCTGCTATCTTGGCTACAGTTGGCTGGCATCCTGGCATAACAGAAGAGGGGTGGTTAAAAGGAAATTGGGGAATGTAAAGGGGGGGAGGAAGATGGTACCAGGAACCAGAGGTGCTAAGCGGCCAGATTTCACCGCCTCGAGGACGCCTGGCCTTGGAACGAATACAAAACCTCTTTGAGGCATACCTACCCTCAAAGCAGTTCTCAAAACATCAAACCAGGATATCGTTGGACACTAACAGTCCAGTATATAAGTCTACATAAGGGCTGTTGCTGTACCGCCTCATTGTCCCGCCCTTAAGCCCCAGGAGCGGTGGCAAGAGAATGGTAGGTGTGCAATCTTACCTGCCTTTTGCCTTCGCTGACAAAGAGCTCGCTGATTTTTTTCTGCTTGTACACATCGTTTTTCTCCAGCAGCTTCTTGTGCAGCCAGTCCGGGTGACGGACACGGGGAACTGGATTCTTCACCTGTCCGGAAGCCACACATTTAGCCCTCGCTTGGGGTTTCACTTCTTTCCTCTTTTCCAGGGAGGATGGTACACCTTTTACATTGATTATATCGGGGGTCGCCAAACTTTTGGACCTCAGGGACCACCAAATTAATAACTTTAAATCCTGCGGACCACTAATATGAATTTTGACTGACAGTGGCTTGTTGACAGTGGGAGAGAGAAAGACAGAGAGAGAGAGATCGGATCTAACCTCACTGTCTCCCTCTCTCTCTCTCACACACACACAAACACAAAAGGAGCAGGGGTGGGATTCAAATTTCTTAACAACTGTTCTGTGGGTGTGGCTTTGTGGTCATGTGACTGGCTGTATGTAAATATTATAAATATTTATATAAATATTGATATATTTTTTTATAAAAAAAGAGCAACTTTTACCCAAAATCAGGCAAAACAGGCAGGCAGATTGAGTTGCTCACAGAATCACTTACAGATCTGTGCTTCTGCCATCGGCTAGCTGAGTCTGCACTGCTTCAGTCCTAAGGGAGGTTCGGCTCTGCTTAAAAGCATGGGTCTGAAATGGTATAGGCTTTGCTGCCTGAGCAGGCGGTTGGATTGGAAGATCTCCAAGGTCCCTCCCAACTCAAGGACAATCAACCAGTTGAACAGCTTGCCTCCAGAAGGGATGGGATTCTACTGGTTCGGGCGAACTGGATGTTAAATTTGCATCCGGTTCACCGAACCGGTATTCTGTTTTGCTGTTTAATGTAGTGGAGGCTGCTTGCCCTTCTCGCCAAGGATTCACTCCTAAGATTACCTGCTGCAGGGCTGCTGGGATGGTGATAATCTTTTGGATTGTGCTTCCCAGTCTTTCAATGTAATAATCCCAGTCTAGGATCTGCAAACAAAAAGCAGAGAACCCCGATGGTAGCCACGAGAATCTGGACGGTAACCAGATCGGCTCCATTCAGTCCAGCCTAATTTGGCTTACCGTTCGGATATCAAAATCCTGCAGCGAAGGGCTTTTGAGCCACTTCCGGAGGTAATGCTTGCGCACCGAGAGCTCAGCCTGGAAAATGGCGAGTGGGATGGCTCTGGGTGGAAGGAAGAACAGATTAGCGCCCCTCAAAAGCCCATCGAAGAAAAGTATAGGCAGTCCTTGACTGACAACAGTTCATTTAGTGACTGTTCGACGTTACAAAGGCACTGTATACCATCACCTGAAAACTTTTTTTTCTGGCTCCAAGCAGGTCTCAGAAGGATGGGCTTTTTCCCCTTTTAGGGTCTCTCCGCTTCATCCCCCGATTGAGAACGGCAGCTCCCCCCCCTCCTCAAAACACAGCGGACGCACCTCTCTGTAACCGGGGAGCCTTCCGGTTTCTTGGAGATGATAAACCGGCAGCTCAGCCCAGCGTCCTTCACCATCTGGTCCCCGAGAAACTCCGCCAGGCGCTTGGCTGTGCTTATGGACGTGGATTTCTGCTCTCCGTAATCCTCCAGCTTCCGAGACATGGATCGATTCTCTGAGATCAGCTCAAACAGCTCGGAATCGGGCATGTTAGCTGCCTGGAAGGAGAAAGAAAACAAAACCCATTTCTTTCCTGCAGCTGTATGGAGTCACTGCTCCCACATTCAGCTGCACCCAGTTTCGTCCTCTCCGTGTTACATTTGAACACCCGACATGCTCAACCGGGGAAGCAAAAGGAAGAGGCGCCCTACCGACAGCAGCAAGACGCTACAACACGCGGTATCATTTATAATGGATTTATTCTCCTCGCTTCGGTTTCCGCCAAGTCCCGTTTAAAGGGTAGAATAGCAACAGCTGGGCGAAAAAACACTGGGGTAACTTCAAAAATTATGAAAGCAGGTCCCAAAGTCTGTTTTTCACTGTATGAATCCTCCTCCTTCTCCTCTTTAATGACCTTGCGGGGCAGAGTCTGGGCAACTGAATGGAACTGAGTGTTTACTGGCCGGATGCCTTTCTTGTTGCCGGTACGGAGCTATATGAATGCCTTTTGGAAAATGCCTCCTTTCTCAGTTGTCCCAGTGTTCTGATTCCGGGAAGTGATTTTTCCACTGCGAGGAATGATTTGCTACCTTCCAAAGGGCCACGAAGCTGTAGCGGGGGGGGGGGGGTTCTCTTTGCCCACCTGCACTCGTCTCATCTCCCTCCCGGGGTGGGGGAGGGGTGGCTACAAAAACCACCGCGGGATCAACCTGCCCCGACTGCTGCAGGAAGAGATCCGACTCCTGAGCCCCACCTTGCTGTACAGGACGTCAAGCCAGTAATCGGCTACTTTGGCGACTGACGCATACACCTCCTCCAGGGTCGTGCCGTTCAGGAAGGCCTCGAAGACCGAGGACTGGAAGATCTTCACCAGCTGCAGCTCCCCTCGTCGCTTCACCTCGAAGCCCTTCAGCTCAGCCAGGGAGCCGTCTTCGTTGAACACAGCGTATCTGGGACACAGCCACCATCATCCTCAGGACAGAAGGAAAACTCCCTCCGCCCACGCCTAGTCTTTATTTGGGGGGCAACCTCTGATCCCTACCGCCCTGCTGAATCCAGGCATGCCAGTGTGCTCGGGTGCCACATTTCGATACCCCTTCCAGCCTTCCTTTTAACCCAATTGCCCTATCTAGCAATAGCAACAGCACTTAAGACTTATATACTGCTTTCGTGGTGCTTTCTAGCCCTCTCTAAGCGGTTTACAGAGCCAGCCTCTTGCCCCCAACAATCTGGGTCCTCATTTTACCCACCTTAGAAGGATGGAAGGATGTGTCAACCTTGAGCCTGGTGACATTCGAACTGCTGGCAGTCAGCAGAATTAGCCTGCAACACTACATTCTGGCCACTGCGCCACCATGTCCCTTCCTTCCTTCCTTCCCACTTAGCTCTTAGACTTATAGACCGCTTCACGGTACTTCCCAGCCCTCTCTAAGCGGTTTACAGAGCCAGCCTCTTGCCTCCAACAATCTGGGTCCTCATTTTACCCACCTTGGAAGGATGGAAGGCTGAGTCAACCTTGAGCCTGGTGAGAATCGAACTGCCAAACTGCAGTCAGCCGGCAGTCAGCAGAAGTAGCCTTCCTGAAACTTTTGTGTTCCCAATCCTGGACTCTCTCACCTTTTCTTCAGCTTCTTGCCTTCCTCCTTGGAGGCTGGAAGAATCATAGCCAGGTAAGGCCCGTCTACTTCAAAAAAGATGCTGTTCTCGGAGCGGGAAACATACTTGAGGGATGTTGGGTCCACCAGCTCTTGGTACTGGGTGTTTGTAAAACCCTCCTGTACAAAAAAAGGACACGGACACACACACACACACACAGCCTTTGGTACCATTTTTCTTATTTCCACTAAAAAGAGAGAAGGTGCATCATCCCAACAGTGTTCAAGCTTTGCTACATATATTTGTTGCATATTTTGCGAATTGTACAGCTTGTTTTTTCATGCATGCATATTATGCAAGGACAGAATTGTGTTTTGCTAACCTTCTTTTACAGTTTAGGCCTGAGGTGCCCTAAGGAGCAAGATTCCTGTCTGAGGTTACACAGGCCCACACAAATATTTTAATTTGCTTTCTACTGTATGACTAACTTTGTCGCTTGTATCCTTACAATTTATATTGACTGTTTCCTAATATGATTTGATTGCTTATTGTACCCTATGACTATCATTAAGTGTTGTACCTGATGATTCTTGACTCTTGTCGAATGTCTCTTTTCTTTTATGTACACTGAGAGCATTTGCACCAAGACAAATTCCTTGTGAGTCCAATCACACTTGGCCAATAAAGAATTCTATTCTATTCTATTCTATTCTATTCTATTCTATTCTATTCTAT